TGTTTGTAGTTCTTTTAAAATATCCTTTTGATTGATTTTTAAAAGGAAGTCCAAATTGCCACATAAAGGTTTGATTTTTCACTATCTTCCTGAAACAAGAAGTTACACAATAATGTGCAGTTTCAGTTTTCTCGTGGTCCATTTTCCACTGCTATCAATTGAGTGACTCCCACTCACATCACTGGCAAACTTTTGAATAATCATTGGGTCTGCTTCCACAAATAATGGTTTGCAGACTTGTGACACTGACCATATCAGTGATTACCAGCTATGCTATTACAGTTACTCTTTTAATTTGTGGTGTGAAGATGAAAAGAATTACCAATTATAATCTTGCAATCAACCTGTTGATTAGTGCAAGTTGGAAGATAAACTTTGGCCAGTGTTTTATACTATGCCCTTTGTAATGAAACATCATAAGATAATATGCGTTTAGTAGGGATTTAAATTCCTGAGATGATTAAAAGGAGCTATTAAGACTTGCAAGGTTTAGAAATGTTTTATGAACTATATTAACACATTATGTGGCTATTTTTAAATGATGTGTTCCTATTGATCATCTTGGGTAACTGTTTCACTGGAAAAATAAAAAGCACAAAATGAGGAATAACTAAGATCAGACGCATAGCTTGATAGTCAAAGGGACTTGTTTTAAGTCTGAGATGATGGATCAGGAACCCTGAGATCTTCTTATTCTAAAGAGCTGAGTTGCTCTACATCTCAGGGATATTGCTCACTCTCTCCAGGCCTCCATTTTCCCAACTCTGAAGTGAGCATTGTAGTATTTACTGCATGACAAAGAGTGTTGTGAGATGTAACTAATTAGTGCTTCAGTGTTTGGAGGTCTCTTGATAAAAGGTGCTCTTGTAGTCCAGTTATCATTATCAACATCACTACCACCATCACCATCATCATCATTATTATTACTATTAGCGCTGCTACAAAAAAATCCCAGCTTGTGCATGTACACTGTACTGCCAAACCTACTTCAGATATTGTTTCCACAGTCAACCCAACCAAATAAATCATCCTGGTTTTTAGCAAAGTAGTTTACCGTTTTTACCTGTGATCCAATTTTTTTCACTCAGTAGAGTTGAAAATCTTACCTATTTTTATTTCCAAATGCCCTGATTTATAACTTTAAATTGTTTGCAGGTATATTTTTACATTGAAAGGTAAAATGTTTCAAAGCTTTTTCTGTTTAAAGCTGATCTGTAGTTTCTAACAAATCCCAGTGCAGCATACTGTGCTCATGGCTACTCAGAAAAACATAGACATGTACACCCAAATATTTTCAAAAGCAAATAATCATTTTGGGGGCCTCAACTTTTTGAGTGCTCTGTTTGTGTCATTTTGAAGGACTGGGTACCCGAAAGGGAGGATGCTGTCACCTTAAAATCTTTCTTTGATGAGCTGACCTTAGGGGATAAATTTACCTGAAGACAGAAAAGAAAAGGTTTAATCAGAATAATTTGGCTAGTGAATTCAGAAATACATTTTTTTCCAGAAAAAGATAAAGGACAGCAAATCTCCTGTTAACCAGCTACACTGTGAGGCTGTATCAACAGTAGAAACCTAAGTAATTGGTAATACGACTGCTATAAGAATGCTGTTGTAAAAATCAGCCACAAATTCACACTAGCCTTGCTATATTGGGCACGGTTTTATTCTACATACTTATTTACGTTGTACTGTACCACTTCCTGGATCTCGCTCTCAGTTCCTAGCACAGCTTCCTGAAAAAAAGGAGTTTGTGGGAGGCTGTAAAAGATCTTCTACAAGTCCAGAGGGACTACCAAAGAAATGGTTAGATTCTTATCTGTTTCTGGAAATGTCTCTATATTCTCAGGAACTGGTTGCATTTCCAAGCCCTGGTCTCAAAATGGAGGGCAGGATGCACACTCAGCTCGTGATTCTTGCTCAGCAAGAAAGGCTATGCTTGAGTTTTGACGTGTAGTCATGACGTAGCTGGGATGGCTCTAACAATACAGTGGATAATGTTATGGTACCTGGGAAGAGCCGGCAGCAAACTTCTTTCTGAAATTCTTTCTCTTCCACCCACTCTCTCTCATGCACAGATAAATAGCTCTCTCTGTATGGAAAGTATCAAAGATGTTCACTGTAGGTACAGTGCTGCTGTTGGGTCTGAATCGGAGTGGAGGGAGAGAGGTACGTCCAAATCTGGAAAGAGAACAGTGGCTGTTTAACATGAGGAAGAAAATGAAGAAAAAGACTTATTTCTACCTCTTTGTTACACTCATTTCACCATTGCTAACAAAACCCTGAGGGCAAGAATTTCCGTTTCCTATGAAAAAGTGGAGATTTCACCACAGAAGTTAGCTCCTCCAGAGAATTAATGGACAACCGGCAACAGTTTAGAGTCAGAAAGTCCCTGGTTGGTGCTCTCAAGGTTGCTTGATCAAAGCTGCCACTGTACCTGAGATGACTGAGTCATTTCAATAATTGCAGTCCCAAGACTGTAAGGCTATAAGAACATATGTCACTGTCTCTGCCCAGGTGTAGACAAACAGGACTGTTGCTGAGTGCATATACAGTGGTATGACGTGCAAGAGCTTAAAAAATAATGAATTTCCTAATGGTCAGAGAACTGCCTTCCCACAGATCTGCACCGGCTTTGATGTACAAACAAACTCTCCACTACAACTCTGAGTGACCCTTATACACATTTTTTTTGTGAATCATAAAAGCATTCACAGACTGTGAAAGCCAAGGGCACTGGTGCATTGTTGGGGTTGAAAGCAAGGTGGAGAGAAAAGTTGGGTGACTGATGTAGCAGTTATCTGCATTTTGGCTAATAGTAAAGGAGGTATAATCAGTGCACAGTGAAATGAAGCAGCAGTAGGAGGTCCAGTCATTTATGTACACACACAGAAAATGCATGTTTTTCCCCTTGCATTGTAACTCTCCTGACTCTCCTTTAACTGTGCTGTGCTGACTTGACTGTACTGAACCTTAACTCCTTCAACTTTTCCATGCGTGACACTTCTTGTCAGGCTGAGGGATGCCCGTTTTGGTTATGTTCTTGGATACCTGAGACCTTCAAAATGTCTGAGTTAGGCTTGATCTGTATTATGTCACTTCCCTAGATCTGCCTTTCAGAGTAGCTGTCAGCATCTTCACAGAACCCCTTCTTCTGAGGGGAGTGACTGGAGTACAGTTAGCTTCCTGTTTACCATTGAAGCTGACACTGGCAAAGGAAGCTCTGTGGAGCATGCAGTAGCATCTGCTCAGATGACTGGGTCCAGCAAATTAATCTCCTGAACAAGAGGTAGATAAAAGCAGAGGGACATCATAGGCAGACAAGGTTCTTTGGGTGAATCTGATATCTTTTATTAGACCAACTTAAATAGTTGGAAAACAATTATTAAACAAGATTTCAATAATAAATCTGTTAACGCATACTATTGATAGGTTGTCAGCATACTACTGATGGTACATGTACCGCAGATTGGGAACTGCTGGGTCGTGTATGACGTGATTAGGACACCTATTATGACACCCAGTTGGGTCAAACCCAGGGTCCATCTTGCCCCGTCTCCAATGGTAGGAAGTAGCTTTCAACTAAGGCTGAGCAGAAAAAAGAGGGCACATGTAGAGTGGCACCCGTCAGACCTCTCCAGTTGCTAGCTGTCAGATCCTGAGGCAATTCCCCAAGTTGGACTCTTGCCCCGATAGACCTGACCTCCACAAACTTGTCTCCTCCCTGGGGAGCCCTCCTGGCCCGTGCCAGCGAGTCCCGCCTGCCCCTGACGCAGGGTGTATAAAAAGCAACGTGTGCGTTTATTTTAAGCCGGTTGCCTGACAGTCATGGGCCGCCTCCTACTTTGCGTGGTGAGAGGCAGTGAATGCCAGCTCCCTCTCCCTCCTCTGCACCCATTCAGGAGCCTACAAGCTTCCCCCCGGGCTCCCCTCCAGTGCCCTGATGGCGTCTGGCACATCTCAGGGGAACCAGCCACGCTCCAAACCAGCCCTGCCTAAGCAGGTGCCCCTTCCCCTCTGCCCTAAGCTGGCCCTCTGCAACCCCCTCCCCTCCCCTTCCCCCCAGCGGGGCTTCTGACTGAGACCTGTCTTGCCCCGCCCCCCCGTCCCTACCCGCGTGCGCC